ATTTCTCCTTCATATTTCAATAGCGATTAACATTTTTATAAGCGATAATAATCTTTTTTCAGTCTTAAATTTCAGATTTGTGACTAAATTAAAAATCCTAACTACAATGTTGTCAAGCGACGGGAGATACATTTATAATTGTATTAAATGGAAATTAATAATTCTTTATCACATTCTCTTCAGTATTTATCAACTCGAATAATTCATGCATGTGAATAATTCGAGCTTGTAATAAATGGGAATAGCTAAGCTAAATTAAGGCAATTGAACTATTAAACTTGAGTAGTCTTACAGTCTCTATACTCGGCAGCATAACTGCATAATTGACGGCGAATTAACTCCAATAAAAGATCTGCACTCGCTCCCTCCTTCCTTTATTTAACACTACAATTGGTGTAACACGCACTTGAAGCGTTCAATGATACCCTATGACTTCACAGTCCTATACTTAAATTGAAATTACCTTTGCATATTTCTACTATCTCGTATAGTTAAAAATTCAATTTATTAAATTATTGGATATTAAAAATTTCAGTTCTTTTCTACGCTTATTAAGTACTGATATTTTTATTAAACCTTGATAGAACAATTATAATATGACCTCTTAAGAGTTTTATATTTGATTTTTATTGACAGTTAATATTTCAAATTATAAATTATATAAATGCATACTGAATTTTAAAGGCTGGATTGCTCGTTTTATCATTTTATATTTTAGAAAGCATAGATGAACTAAAAATGAAAATATATAAAAATTGAAATTTAAATGAGGTATACATTATGTCTATTAGTATTTTTTTTTCTTTTTCTTTTTCTTTTTATAGCCAGAAAGAAATTTTCATGTTGAATTATCCTTTTTTTTTAAATATAAGTAACTTTTATTCTGCTCACAATTATAATTAAAAACCTAATCACAAGTATGTTTTAAAAATGTTTTTACGACAAATTTAACTTTATCCATTGATATTTTAACAATCATGCTATTGAAATTAAATCTATAAAATTCATGCATAAACAATATATATATATATATATATATATATATATATATATATGTATGTGTGTGTGTGCGCGCGCGCGCGCGTGCGTGTGTGCGTGTGTGTGTGCCTGTGTGTGCCTGTGTCTGCGTTGGTGTATATATATATATATATATATATATATATATATATATATATATTGTAAATAAAACAATAAACGTATTTCTTTAATCTTGCATCATACGTCAAATTCTATATTAAAAATATTTGTATTTTACTTACGAAAAGTAAACAAGATAAATAAATTAAAAAAGTAAATAAAGAGATTTTATAAAAACATTAATTTCCTTATTTGTCATTTTAATTTTATTGAAATTAAATCTTTTAGCTTTTAAATCACTTTCAAATCGTCAGAAAATTTTCTAGTCAAGTGAAATAATTGTTCCTATTTATTCGGATTAGAATATTCTATACTTTCCCTTTTTACATAAAAAGGTATTTTTAAAGAATCAAATGAATAATTCATATATATATATATAAATTTACTTATATTATTATGATAATAAAACTCTTGCAGTACAGTCTTCTAATTAAAGAAATTTATTTTAGCAGAAAATTGAAGGATTAATTTTGCATATAAGTGTTTATATACTTTCAAAGTAATTAAAAAAAAATTGAATTATAAAAGAACAATAATAAGGAAATATAATAGTGGGAAATCGGTAAATACTGGGATTTGTTCCGTTTTTGTTTATGTATTTTAACATTTTTTGTAAGAAAAACAGAAGGTCAGATGGGCGAGGTCATGATTATCGGTCTAATAAAAAAAAAGTTACAACTAAGAGCACATATATTGAAACTCTGTGGCTAGTTAAAGAAAAAATAAATACATGCTCTACGTAAAGTAATTGCTCCACACATTTCGAGTAAGAAAAAAGAATAAAGAAAAATAAAAAATAAGGAGGAGAATGTTGTAGGATATATATATATATATATATATATATAGAGAGAGAGAGAGAGAGAGAGAGAGAGAGAGAGAGAGTTAAGTGAAATTCACCTACGTGAGTGTCCGGATAACAGTCTGGATGCAATGCTCATGGGCCGAGTGCCAATTAAACGGACCAGATCCAAGATAGGCTGTATAAACTTCCGCAACAGTCGTGTTATCGGTTTAAAAAATAAAAAGCAACAAAACCCAGAGAGAGAGAGAGAGAGGGCGAGAGAGAGAGAGAGAGAGAGAAAACGAAGAGAATACGTCAAACAATCGAAGTAACGGATGTGCAGATGAAACTTACAACTCCGTTGGTGAAGAGATTGTTTTTTACATTGGAAATCTGAACACTTACAAGTTTTCAAAATCCTGCAACCTATTTTCTCTATACAATTTATTACTAACTTTTGTAAATTGCTATTTCTCTTACGCTCTCTAACCAATATAGTTATTATTGTTATTAACTAAGTTATTAATTGCGTATACGTCATACGAATAACCGCTGTAAAATCCATATTTTTATAAGTAATATGTTTCAAATTGTAAATTAATTTTTTTTTAAATTATTTATAATAATTGGGTATTGCTGTATACGAAGTTTTTGTTATATTGTATGACAAAGTTTAACGAAGTCGGTAAATATGTATCGGTCCTAATATTTTCCATACATACAATAATAAAATCCGATAGTTACAGTAGGAAATTGTTATAGCAATGTATAAATGAATTATTTCACTACACCGAACAAATGAATTGATCTCACTTAGTATGTAAATACGAAATATGAATGTTTAGTTATAAGTTGACCAAGTATTTTAAATAGCATTTCTAAATTCAGTTAAAATATGATAATATAACTAGAAAATAAAAACATAAACTTCTTTATATTATAATTCTTTCTATCGTTCTACTAATTAGTAAAGTTAATCAGTTTATTTATACTAACAGAGTAAGATCAAGGAATCAATTTCATATATAAATTTTTCTTTGTAACATAGATCGATTTTATCTTGCCATTAGTTATTTCTTTGAGTTCAATCCTGATTGGCAATGTTAAGAGTAACGTGAATTAACTAGATAATAAGAATGTTTCTATGTGTCTTAAGACTCAATAATTAAGGCGATTATACAACAAGGTTCGATCATTTCAATTTTAAAACTATATTTTTTTTTTTTTTTTTGAATTATTATAAATACTTATAAGTAAGTAAGATATATAAGTGAGATTGTCAAATATTAGATGAAATTTGCTTTTAATCTTCTTTGTTGTAAGGGATGAAATTTTATTTTACATATCTAGGATTAATTCGATTTTACAGGGAAAACTGCTATTAATACAATTGTGAATTATCTCACAAGAAAGAATTTATACTTAGTAATTTCTTGTCGTCCTTAATTTTCAATTCAAATAATTTGTAGCTTACTTAATAAACTGTAATACTTTACTGGATACTTGAGTCATGATAAACTAGTACAAAAAGAATTAGCAATTATTTTTCCCGACGTTGAATTTCAGCTCACAGTGATATCACGTCGAGCCTATATTAAATTGTGTTATTGATACATATGCATACATACATACATACATACATACATACATACATACATACATACATATATCGATGAATTATTTTATGAATATTTTACCATCCTATTTAAAACATGAAAAAATATAGATAAAAATCGTAGTTGCGCTAAAATCGTAAATATCAATTTTCAAACTGTAACGTAAAATTAAATTTACAATCATTCGGTTTAAATATCCTTAGGGATAAAAATAATCGTAAATTTAATAAAATTAAAAAAACAAAGTGAGAAAGTTGAGCGAGGAAAGTCAAATAATAGATTCATTTTTATAAAAGACAAAAAAAAGGAAAGTGGTAAAGGAATAATCAAGTTGACGAGAAACGATCATTCAAGGAATATATATTAATGAGAAAGTAATTGCAAAATTAAATCGATAAACCAATTGATAGAATGCGGAGAGTGAAGCAAGTATATATAGTCTTTCTTATACAGCAATGAGATAGTGAAACTGGAAGTATAAAATAAAAAGAAAAGGATAAAATGCATTCTTTTGACATACAACGGCGAGATGTAGACGAGATGTCGGCGATATGATGGGATGAGGATTGAACAAGGGAGAGAGGAAGGAAGTGCGAAAAGGGGTTGGAAGAGGCACTGAGTTAGAGACCAACGAAGAATGAAAGGCGAAAGAAAAGGGACGCATGTGCTTTTACACATTGGATGTTTTCGTTTAAAATAGCGTGACTTACATGCGAGTACTTAACAGGGCATTTAAAAAGGGCGTGAATGACGCTTTCACAATTCTTGAGAATTCGATTCATTTGGAGTTGTGACAGTATTTAACAATAGCTAGGCTAGCTAAAGCGCATCGTGCCTGGAAAATCAATTAGAATTAACAATCTTACAATATTTACGCGTACTTTAGCCCTAATATTTACACCCATGGAGAACCGATTAATATCTTCGATTGATCTTTTATTTACATATACGAAATCCAAATACGGATAGAATGGAGTTTTGAAACTGAAGAGTTTTTTTTGTTTTTTGTTTGACAGGTGAAAGCATAGACATGGCCTCCTCGCAACGGCAAGCACTCTCAGGCCCAAGTTTAGGAAAGTCAATGAAAATCACGTGAGTAGGAACTCGGCAAAGATCGCGGGAGGCAAATCCGCGAGAGTGCCGCTCATGAAATCGTCGTCCCCTCTTCTCTCTCTCTCTCTCTCTCTCTCTCTCTCTCTCTCTCTCTCTCTCTCACTATCCTCTCTTCACCCCTCTCCACTCATTAATAGTATACACTCCGCGACGAGATGACGAAGTGGCGAGGTGGCGAGGTGGCGTGGTGGCGAGGTGGCGAGGTGGCGAGGTGGCGAGGAGATGCCACGGCGACGGCGGCGGCAACGGCAGAGGTGGCAGGCGTCGCGGCGGGAGGGGCCGTTGCGGCGGGATGGTAGAACGGAGGGAGAAGGAGAGAGGATGACGTTGCAGCGCCGCGCTGCAAGTCGACGGCGGGGGCCTCAGTCGCCGTTCGACTTTGATCGTGGGAGGATCGTCGTGCGCGAGTGTGGGAGTACCCTGGCCCAAGTGCGACATGAGGACGTGGCTGCGGCGACGGCGGCTACGGCGGTGAAGGACGCGCATACCAGCGGCGATCGGCGAGTAGTGCGGCACAGCCCCGGTGAGGTCAAGGGCTTTGTTTACCGATACCTCGGCGGCGTTAATTCCGAGCCTATGCTTTCCCGTCGCTCGAGCGCGACTCCGGGCAAACGAATTCGCTCTCGCTCGGAGCCTCGACACCGCATCTCCCCCAATAATCCTTAATCGATCATCGATCGTCGATCGTCGATAGCCCCAAACCATCTCTTATCCGTTTTTCTTAGCCGTATCGATTGCAATTTCGCTCGTTGGCTTTATTACGACCGGAGCCTCTTAAGCAGACGCGCCGATCTGCGTTATTGGCCGGAGAGAAAATTCTCCTCGATACCTCAATTTGGCTGCTGTTGGGAGAACTCGGATCGCTTTAGGGAAAGTAGAGCGAGTCATAATATTGTCGAAAGTCACGATTTATCAATTGCGAATAGTAACATGCGCATTTTTATAATTGAGCGACGGCATTGCGTGCCCAAAGACATTTCATTTAACGATTATTTCAATTCCTCTCAAATATTTAACCACCCCGTAGGTGATTAATGGCCAAAATTCGATTGCTTTGTCTCTCCACCTTTAATCGACAGCCGAGAATGCAGCTTGTTAAGAGTAAAATTTCGAATCTTCCAATTGTAACGCGAATGTTCGCCGGATCCTTATCCTTGGAATCTAATGAAAGTGCACGACTACTCGTGACAAATGTAAATTAACAAGACTGTGAGCGACATCGAGAAAACTTTCTAAATTTACGTAGTTGCTCAATATCACTTCCGCGATATATACTTAATTATTAAATAAATTCTTCGATGGGTATTGTAGTGGACTCGAGTGCGCGCTCCCCAGGGTCATCGATTACAATAATAAGAAACGTAAACTATTTTTGCATCTAAGGATGGATGTGTCGTGAACGCGAAGGCTAATGAGCCCAGCGTATCGCTCTACAGCCTAGCGAAAAACAAAGGCGAATAAATAAACGCATTTATCGTGTCTCTCGTGCGAGCTATGCCTCTCACTCACGCCATTGGAATCGAGTAGTTGTGCATTCGCGAATAATACTCCTACTCCTCAGCGAACGCGTGAAACGTACTTAAGGAGAGCGCTATTAATGGGGAATCAATGGAAATTGATGATCGATCGTCATCTCGTCGGCAAGGTGCCAGGGGCGTTGCTCGCTTAATTGAAGATCCGGGCCATTGTTCACCGGCGGCTTGTCGAGCGACCAACGAAAGTCGATGGGACCAATTTCATTGGGACCAGTCACAATGATACTTTCCAACATACGCACACAAAAGCGCGCGTATATACATAGAAATTGGGTAGATGGGTGGGTGGATGGTGGGGATGCGGCGTACAGTCTTTTATCCTTACACACGTGGCCGAGATAAAAACGCTAAAAGTGGAAGTAGTCACTGCTTGGTACGTGTACGAGTGGTTGTCATCGTCGATTTTAAGGTCTTGTATCGTACGAGAAATGTTATATTGCTCTAGCGGACGCCGACGCCGACGCGGACGCCACTCTTTTACATATCCTCGGCCTTTTAAGGCAATTCACGGCTTTTACGGATGCGCCCCGTAGGAATTGCATTTACACTACCCTGACTGTGTCCAATACGGGCCTCATTGCAACTCGAACTGCTAATATTATGCTACGACGGCGCCGGATTGGCTCTATAAAATGATGAGAGCATTCTGACTTGTGACAGAATAGTGGTTACACGTTATTGTAATGAGTATACGGGGAAACGTTGCTCTCTTCGCGTCTCACTTGCATTTCGAAACATTAATGGTAATTACGTAAATTTTGCCGATAGTGTGCCTCTCCCGCCTCGCTGGCGTTTTAACAGTCAACGTGGATAGGAAGACGGTAGTCGTGTCGTCGTATTTTCGTTTAGCAATATCAGCACAAGGTATTGCACATCGAGAATATATCGAACAGTCTTTTCTTTCACTGATAAGCTCGCGCTCAATAATAAATTTCACCGCTCCAATGAAACTTATTATTATAGCTGGACTTTTACCTAATAAACTTAATTTCACCGCTGACCCATTTATTTGCTGTAATTCGTAGCTTCATTTTATAGTCTTTCTTTCTTTCTTCTTTCCTTTTTTCTTTTCTTTTGCTTAATATAAAGAACACGTTCAAATGCTAAAAATAATATTAAATTTTACGCTTGAACAAATAAATTATAGAGATGATTCGCCAATTTGCCTTGTTAAATCGTGATACTATTTAATTTAACTACATAATTCTCATCTGTTTTATTCGATGTGTTAAATAGTTTTTATGTTTCTAACGTCATATTACTGACTTTATTTTGAAAGTCTATAATAAAGTTAAGTAACCTTCGAATATGAATATTAAGCCTTTTATTGAATATCTCATAAAGTTTACATACTATGTCTGGTTTTCAAAGCTACAAATGCCAATGAAGATAAATCTTTGAATCTTAAATTTGACTGCCGTTGTGGATTCCAAAATTCCAGTAGTAAGCTATTTAATAACTTTAAAATCGAACTAACCATTCAATGACGATATTTTTCTAAAGAACTTTCAAGTACGCAAGTTTTATAATAAAATAACGATCTTTTGAAAACTACTAAGTTCATCTACATTTCTTCATCCAAAAGATATTTTTTCAAAAAAAAAAAATACTGCAATTAAGTTGTTATGATGCGTAATGGCATTTCTTTTAACCACAAGCTTCTTTTCAACGCCAAAAACGACAAATATACTCAGAGAAAATTTCAACTTCCAAAACTTGAAAGTTTCGTTGGAACATGTGAGATATACAGAGTCATAGATTATATACACTGTAGCCAACGTAAATCAATACATATAATCATAAAATATAAAGTATTAAAAGCGTTACGCTCACGACTTTTTCTTTACATCCTAATTAGTAAAGCAATACTCATAATAATTTTGAAGAAACAAAGTATTTATAGCATTTTAGGACGATTAAAGTGGATTTAAAGCACCTTCCTATACATTATTTTCTACAATGGATGTGAGATTTTTTAATTCCTAAAAAGGCTAAGATCTAAAAATCGCCTTCAAAACTCCATATAACTTAAGCTGTCGTAATTCATGTAACGAGTGCATCCATTATGAGCGTACAAAGTGATATTATGATTGAGAAGCATAATAGAAAGTATAAATTAATCATAGCAATTTTTATAGTTAGTGGCACGCGGTTTTCCTTTGCGAATTTCATGTATCAATTTATCAACAATATGGTGAAAAATCAGCAAGCACTCACACACAAGCATGTATTTCTTTCTCAGAAAAGAAATACACGCACATAGAAGAAACAGCTTGAAAATAAAAAAAAATTCATGATAAAAAGGTTATATTTGAGCATTTCCGCCGTTATATTTTTATTTCCCTACGGTAAACATGACTTATGTCCGAATGGATTTTAAAGTATCTATTGAACAAATATTTTCAATATGATATAAGAATTTCGAAAATACATTTTCCTTCCATCTGAAACGAAATAATTTCAAATACATATTAAACCCAATCGGGTCTTTTATACTAGATTAAGCAAATATATTTTAAATAATTTATCAAAAATATACATAAAAATACAAACAAAACATTAACTGTGTTTCTAAATGCTCGAGTATATTTCTTGAATTTTTTTAATATTAGCAGCGTCACGTATCAATGATATTCTATATATTTGATACACAAATAAATATTTCTGGTCAATTTTAAAAATACGACTTATTTCTAAATAAGTTTCTTGATGAATATATTTAAGTAACTAAATAATTATTAAATAATTAAATGCGTGCATATCTTAATGAGTTTAATATAATATAACAATGGATACATACATATATATATATATATATATATATATATATTTATATAATAATATATAATTTTTATTTTAATATTTAAAAAATGTATTAAAATAAATAAAAATTATGGCAAATTTATTCCTAACTTTAGTGACTAATGTAAACTATACAAAAGATAACATTAAACAAAAATATTGTTATATTCCAAATGTGTAATAATTATACTGAAATGGCGTATTTAGATGCAAACTAAAGATTTCCTATCTCGCTTGTCTATAAAAAATAAGTATAAGAAAAAAAAATAACTCACATATATTTTACTATAATAATTTATCAAAAAAAAGTTTTAATTTATTATTTACTATTTATTAAGCATTTTAATATTTTGAAATTAAACATCTTTTTACAGAAAAATAGTAACATTATATTGCCTAAGATACTAAAAGTTATTTTTCCCATTGCTGGATAACTAATAACGTCAAATTTTATTTTAAAAACGGTCGATAAATAATTTTTAACGAGCCTTCAAAACTAAACAATCTAGAAAAAAAAATACATGTTAGATTTAATTTAACATTATTAATTGCATAAAATATATTATTTGATATTTTTCTCTCCACAATCACATTTATTAAAGTTATTTATATATTACTTAAAAAAGATAGAAGAAATTACCTAATGAAATTTTATATTTATTACTTATTTGATAGTACTATTCCAAAGTGTAGATAATTTATAGCAAGCATATATGACCAAAACGTCATACATTCATTGTTATGTATGTATGTGTCGAAGAGAAATTGTTTGTAGCAATCCAATGTGCACTTGTTGTTATAAAAAAAATGTCTACTTGTAACTACAATATTCTTATTTTTTAAATAATAGAGTGAATTGTAGTATTTATAGATGAATTAATTTATAATATAAATTTTGTAAATTTTATAAATTTGCATTAGAGATTATTGATGAGCATAAATTCACTGATTTTCAAAAGTTCTTAGGATAAATGAAAATGAAATGTTCATTATCGTCTATTTACAGTTAGAGGTAATCATTAAAGTAGTATTTCTTTATAATTAAATTTGCAAAATGCGTACGTCTCATCCAACAATTACTGATTAATAAATTTAATTTACTTATATTAAATCAAAGCTTTTAAATTTATTTATTATCACTTACAAAAATAAAATTAAAATTATAATACGATTTAATATTCTATAT